AACCCACTCAACCACTTACAGCAGCCCCTACACCATTCGGCTACTGTACACAGCCCGTTCTAGGGCAACAATGAACCTAGTTCTCTAGGTTCTAATCAGTACTAACTGATTCTTGAAGGGTTTCTACCCAGAAATACCAGCAACACAAAAGGACTAGATAACCAACCTTCCTTTGAGAGTGTCAACCAACCATTCACTGCTGAAATCACTTTCCTTGATGAAGAAGACTGTGCGCAGCAAAGAGAAATGAGCTGTGATGTCACAGACCTAGGGCGAACCAGTTCTCTCCATTAACTAACCAGAAACGAAGAAGAAGGTATCACGAACACAGCTGAGATGCTTTACAAACTGAAGCAGGTCAGGAACCTCACTCTGATACCATGTTTCGAATGCAGCTACAGTAACCCGAACCAGGAGAGAAGGAAGAAGAAGATGAAGAAGAAGAAAAGAGAAAGAGAGAACAGGAGGGTTTAGTCGAAGTTGATTAATCTTTCATTCATTCGACCCCCTAATGTTTATTAGATTCTAATAACATTTACAAAGACTAAACTGCCCTTACTTAAGTGTGGGGCAGAGYATCTCTAATAAAACTGCCACATAAGCAAGGTACTTAACAAACATGAGATGACTAAACTACCCCTATTCGGCTCACTTTAACAGTATTCTATTCTAGTTTGCTTACAAATGCATAAGAYAGTAGAAGCTTCAACTAGAAAGTCATTTCTTGATTAAAAAAGGCCACTACAAAATGTTGGTCCCAGCTATCTGGGGTCTTGGGAGAGGTAGACTAGGTACAGTCCTAACCTTTGGCATTTTTTTGCACAAAGCGGACTCCCTCAGACTTGAATCAGCATTCCCACAATTACATGCACCTTCTACTTTCTAAATGAATATTATATAGGGAGTTTTCTCTTTTTCTAGTCAACCTCAAAGTACCACCATGTGCCTTATAATCATTTACACTTCACYATTTGTATGTTTTCTTGGTTAAAATAGGTTCTTTTCCTTTCCCCCTTAAAATAGGTTCCACTATAAGGATGCACAGGAGTTGGACAGCTTCATGTCATGCAAGTTTCCAATATGCTACTTATAAGTTAGGTATTGGACTCCATATAAGTGATGAGCCCCAAATTTGTTACTTCATATCAAGATAAAGAATCTGAAATAAAAATGCCGCAAGATACCACCTATGAAAAGATGAAACTAGATGAACCAATAAAATATTACCAAGAAAAGATTGGCGGATTGCACGCTCAAAAGCACCTTCACCTACATACTCATGAGCTAAGCAGTCAGTTATACGTCTCATGGCCTGAAACATGGTTGGTGCACCTGCTCCCTGCATTGAACCAGACCCCACCTGTGCAGCCACATTTACAACTAATTTAATTTAGAAATGTAGAGAATGATTGTTAACATAAATTGCCTTTTAACATTCCACAAATCTCTATGGCTTTCCGGTCCCCAAGAATGAACAACTTGAGAGCTTGTGTTGAACAAAGCACTTAAACCAATACAAAAATTTTAGGTTGCTTATTTCTATAAACAAATAACCATATGGTGGAAGAAAGCAGCAAGCCGTAAAGTGTTACTAAATCTGGCATAAACACCAAAACCAGAAAAGGGCTAGACTGCATGTCATAATCCCCTCCCCACCAAAAGAAAACCATAAGTTCTGTCCTATTTTGTTCAATTCCTTTTCCCTTTGTACATGGAATAGCCATTTCCAATTAAACCTGTTGAAACGACCAAATTAATAAAAAATCTCCATGCACCAGAATCAAATCAAAGATTTTATATCTATTAAGTTCATACAAATTACAGACCAACAGACTTTGAGGGTCCAGTTTCCTGGTTTACTACTAGTTTGATATGCCAGTTTGTTAGTGGAAAAATTTTTAGTATAATTTCTCACATAACATAATTCACCCAATTAGATTAATAACTGGGCTTTTTGATATTTGGGAAAATCCCATTCAGGAAATTATGTAGATGTTCCTTTAATTACACCTTTACTAGGGGCAGAGAAAACCACTTGATTCTAGTTTAGAAGTACAAATAAGCAGAATTAAACTAAGTAGAATTTTCCTATAGAATTTCCCTTTGAAAATTCTGGCGTATATTCCCTCATTATTTCAGAGAAAACCAGCAAGTATAAATAAATAAATTTTTTTCCTTTATGCATAACAAGAAAATAGGGATCGTAAGTAATGGCCTTTAAATAATGATTATATGTATTGTCATGGTGTGAGGAACCATAATCAACCAAGTTTTTTTAACTAGGTTGTAGATGGTTTTTTTTCCTCACACAAAGTAATGATTTCTGGGGTCAAAATGAAGCAAGGAACCATAAAGTTTCATAGGCAAGGCTGTAGACGTGTTATCTCCCTACATGTATTTCAATATGAGACAAGGAAGAAAAAAAAGAAAAAATATGGGAAGAAAGAAAGGGGTGAGAAGAGTAAAAGGAATATGGTCCTCCATCTCATGTAGGAGGTACTAGGAATATCATAGTGAAAAGGAGGAAAACAAGATTCCCTACCTCTTCTTTTTTATGCTCTTCATGCCGATCTTCTTTTCTTTTCTCTTCTCACTTGCTTCTTAGTGCTAGAAATCTTGCAGAAAATTAGTATTAGACAACAAAATGGCATTAGCCCTTTCTCCTACAAGGAGAGGGATTTATAGGAGGGAGGTGGTTAAGTAACTCTCCACCCCTCTCTTCTTAGGGTGCCAAGTGCCACATCACTTAAAGTGGCTAGAGGAGGGAAAAGAGCTCTCTTGTTAGGATAGGACAAGTGGCATCCCTTTTATAAATAAATGGGACACCTCATAAGATTATTAATTAATATAAATTTAATTTTTTAAGGCCTATTGTTTCATTAGATGGGCTCTATTGCAGACCCATTAAATGTTTACTGCATCATAAATAAGGCCTAATTAACTTAGAGCTTGTTGTTCACTAAAACGGACTGCAAGCCTCTTTCTTTCCTAAACAAAATATTTCAGCCCACCCATAGGACTAGGCTTAAAGATCAACCTAGTAAAAAGGCCCTTTCCTCTTTTTTTTTAAGTTGTGACTGGGAATACTTTAATAACCTACTCCAAGTCCAGCAAATTAAGGACTTAACACAGTTCAGCCTGAATTGTCCAAGACTGGCATAACCATATGCAAACACAAGTTCTTGTCACATAAAAGTTACCTCCTCATTGTCAAATAAAGCAACCATTCGAACAGCATGTTCACTTGATAAATCTCCATGTGACTGACATGAATCAATAAGAGCTCTCAGTGCACAATAACTTGAAGCAAGATTGTCCAATCTTCCAGAAAAAATAAACTCATTATTTGCACCTCCAAGGCAGCTAGGCTGTGTATCACAGACATTCAGCTCAATACTCGCTATTTCATCAGTTCCACAACCCAGTTCATCTGACAATACCTGGGAATCACATTTAATTAAGTTACAAGTGTAATATTCTAAATCATATAGCTCTACTAGCTTTCTGAAATTTTACCAGTGTAGGAGGTTTCATCTTTAGCTAAAAAGAAATTTGTGATAAACAACTAATAAGCTATAAAGATGGTTGACAAAAAGAATAACAGGCCATGACAACAAGTCCATCTCCTGCCAACCAGATAGGCCCAACCAAGTACATTTGTTGTCTTCCCAGAAAAAGCCACCTAATCAACAATAATAACAATCTGGTTTGCATCATTATTTTGGGTGGTCAGAGAGAAAAAATAGTCCAGAAGTAAAGGTCCAAGTTATAGATGGTTGCAAACATCTTATCAGATCAACCTTTAGCAAGGAAGATCTCTTTATCAGGTTCATCAGAATGATGATCTTCTCATTTATGTGCACATTTACCACAATACCACAGTAAAACAATCCTCAAGGTCCATATCAAGTTATCAACTGATATCTTTAGTTTTTTGCATTAGTGGATTGAGCAAGAACCAAAGTAGAGACCTGCATAAGTAATTGATGGTGAGAAGCTTTTGAGCTTTTCTCTTTGGATTCTGTAGATGTCTCCTCAAGTTTTGTGGCAAGAAGTGGAACAAGGTGAGTCTCTAGATTTGGTTTAAACCCATCCTGGTTCACTGTACTAAAGAATTAAAGAAAGGAAAATAAGGTCATTTGAGTCAGCCAATGGACTTATTTCCAAAATCTGTAAAAAAGAAAAGAAAAAACTTTTAGACAATTTAAATAAAATTCATGCATAGATGAACCTGAATTTACAAACTGAAAATAGATGACATGGCAATTGAACAAGCCACCCAGCATTAGTTTAATGTTTGCCTTTCAATATTTTGGCTGGTAATCTAGGATAGAATCCGCAGACCAACAAACAGTGGATCCAACTATCCACATATGTAATGGCAGCATGTTCATTGTCCATCATGGATACAAGGCACCAAATCTGGCACTATGATCTCAAAATTTTTAAACAAGGACACATGAATCAGGATGCCAGAATTTGTTCAATATGTGATCACAAAACCAGTCTTAGTAAACCTAAGATTTCACAATGGAACATCTTTGTTAAATAGACCCTAAAGATGTATCAAAATTCAAAAGTACAAATACCATTGGTAGACCACCCTTATGGCCTACATCTTCTGTTAAAATTAAAGGAATTGCTCTAAAATCACAACCCACAAATAGTTTTTTTTTAATTCATTCTAATTATTTATTTTTTTGATAAAGCAAAAAGTAATTAGTTTTTATCATTCATAAACTAATCCCATAACTAAATACTATGCAGTATCTTTAAAAAGCATGCAGATGTCAATCACCACCATAGTCTTAAAGAAAGAACATGAATTTGTATTACAGTAGTACTGAAATTTATTATAAACACAAAGGATAAAGTGGGTATAATAAATAAGAAGCAAACCGGTCAAGATGAATAGCCAGTGTTGGTACTCGTAAAATAGGTTTCTTTACTTTAACAAGCTTGTGCTCAAAGGATCCATCTCCACTTCTAACTATGGCCCTTCCTGCTAAGCTTAAGTCTCTATCAAACCATGTGTGCCATAAGCCAGCTCCATAAGTCTGTACATTCACCATAAGATATCCACATTTTGATGATGCAGACTTTGGTTTTAACTTCAGACATGGGCTATCTGTGTGTGCAGCAATCACATGAAAACCATTACCTACATTATACCTGCGGAACAGATAGAAGTATTTTACCAAATCTAGGCAAACATTAGTCAAATAACAACAGAGACTACAAAAATAATGAATAGTGCCAAACTTTAGCTCCACCTTTGGGAATAATTCTAATGTTTCAGAAGTTAAAAAGAAAAAAATCCTGGTCAGTTGCTGCATTCTTCCCAAAGACAACAGGGAGAATGCAATCAAAACATTTTTCATCAATAGGGACCATTGCCTAGTGCAATGCTAAAACTTCACTGCCTCAGGTTGTCAAGCATAAGAATGCTGGTTTTAGTCTAAGAGCAGTCATCCCGGGCTAAAAGTGCCAGAGGTTATGTCTATACCAGTCCACCCCTTCCAAGATGCAAATTGCTGGGACCAGTATTGGGTAATGGCTGCATAATCCTGATGAGTGTTTCGAATTTACTCAAGGGAATGCTATTTAAAAGCCCTAGCATTGAATTCTTTTGAGATCAACCTCTTTTAAACATTCTTTGTTGCATTTGGAAGGAAAATTATGGACCTTTTATTAAGGTTGGAATTTCATTGAAGAAGACTACAAATAAGGAAAAAGGACATCTGTTACACAGATGACAATCTCTTACTGATTATAAGCTATAATGTCAGATTTATTGTTGTTTTTTCTTTTCAAATAACCGGATAAGGGTTGAATCCAACATATGCACCATATGTATGGTGCAGAGTATTTCTGGTTGTAGGCCTTCAAACAGTTTTTTAATGGGCTATGGACCTCTTTGATATGTAGTAGAAATTTAAAATAGTTTACAAAATAGAAAAGAAGCAACTGAAACAAACAGGAAGACATAATTTTAGAACAACAGCAATAAAAAAGACAATCTATCATAGTCAGAGAAATAAACAAATAAGCAACTGAATCTGTAAACAGCATCAACAAAAATGACAATTGCATCATTTATTTACAAACCACAGACAGCCATATCCTGTGGCTTTGTCAGATAACATTTTGATAACTCATTATGAAATTATGTGTAAGAACACACGCAATAACTGAGGATGTACATTGTGGTTACAACAAGGACAACCAAAAAAGCAAGGACTTTGTTTGATTCTTTTCATATGTATTGCAGCCATATCCTCAGGCCTTTGGAAATTTATTCCTTTTTAATTCCCTGATTTTCTTGTGAAGCTGGAATTGTCTTAGTATGTTAATTGATTTCCATACAAAGGATTCCCCACACAACCAACCAAATTGTTTTAAGCTACAGAAATTTAAGATTTTAAAATACATAAACGTTTCACTTACTTCTCTCCAATGGCAAAAGCAACCAAGCAAGACATATTCCGTGTAAAGAAGTAGCGCCTGCCAGGCTTTAGGTCCCACTCATCATTCTCATTTAGTAAATGAAATCCAGCATCTATTAATTGACGTTTCGCTTCAGCTAGAAATAAAGATGAGAATAAATAATGAAAAATAAGTAACAATCCATCACCAAAAACCATTAGGATTTATTTTGCAATTCTCTAACTGCAGTACAGAACAGTTGCATGCTATGAGATTACATTATCATAGCATTATACAATGGAGAAATACAAAGTCCAAAATCATAGACACAATAACAACAATTCTCAAATTACAACAGTTCCTCCCAGTTGTGACTCCCACTCCTTCCCAGATGTCAATGCAACTATCTTTACCCCAATGTAAAATACTAAAATAAAAAGATGTTCCGGAAGAAGTCAACCTCAGTACCTCACCAAAGAGATGAATTCAGTAACCAAATGTATAGCATTTTTCTTTTATTTATGAAGTAGCAAAACCAGAACTGTTCACTTGGCCACTAGCATATAAGCATATTTTTCTCACTTAAATTATAAATTATAAATATAATAAGTAATTGAATCTCGTAAGAAAAAGTAAGGCACATTTAGTTTTATTTTCTGCAATACTGAGAAATACCAGTGGCATGAAACTGAGTCCACGACTCATTCAGATAGTCCAGAAGATCCCCAACTATAGACGGACTCTGTTTTATAAGAAAAAACAATAAAAATATAAGATTGCAGGGAGCATTACAGAACCAGGAATTACGAATGAATTGGAGGTGGGATGTAAAACAGTGAACCTCGGGAAGCTGATCTAATTTGGAGCAAAGATGAGGAACAGTGGAGAATTTACGAAGACGTTTCCCGTGAAGAGTCGGAGTTGAGAAGCTCGAGTAGGAGTATTTTGGTAATATCGAGGACTTGACGACTGGTGGAGGTTTGAGCAGTTGCAGACGATACATCGTCGCCGTCATGTCTGTACGTGATTACGTTGCTTCGGAGTTCAGTCCTAAGTCCTTACGATTTTGAGCAACCAAGAACGAGAAGCTTGAGACCCCGAGAGAGGGAGGCAATCCAAGTATCCAACTCCAGCCGGTTTTCTAATTTCTACACAAATCACCCCCAATCCCCTGGGGATACATGGGCCTGCTAATCAAATTGGGCCTGACCCATTCGAGATCCCCGGTCCATATCAGCCGATTTGGCCCAACTGGATCTAGGTATAACTACTCGCAGGTCGAAGCATAAGCCCCTAGAACTTGTGCATCAAGAAGTCCATGACTCAATATTTAGGACCGGCATCATCAAGACCCACCCATGAACGCCTGATTGGTTACCACGTTTATGGTAGCAGTTGATTGGTCACAAGTTTTTTCGAATATCACATCTTTCCAAGATCATAATCCAACCCATTTTATTTTTCAAGGATCAAAGTGTAGGTGTGGTGGTAAGGTTAAGTGTGGTGGTCTCCTTGAAAAGCGAAGAAAGGCTAGGAGCAAGAGTAGGCTAGGAGCTTCTATTGATAGAGAGTTGTCTTTTCATTATGATCTACACCCCCTTTTATAAAGAGAGATCCCAAGGTCCTCAAAGGAAGGAGACAGAAGGGATTTGACTCCTATTTGGAAAGGAGATCTTCGGTTTGGTATCGGCTGATAGAGGGACACTGTCAAGAATTTGTCACGTGTCTCATGAGATTTTTCTAAGACGAAGTTTCCTTTCGTCTGAGAATTCTCATACTACACGTATGTTACTTCCCTTCGTGGGTCTCCTGTAGTGACATGGCACAGGTGACGTCAAAACTAATTTGACATGTTCCTGTTTGATCCTATTGGATGTCCTATTATGAGCGAATTCGGTTGATGGTGTTTTTGTCCATTGTAAAACTGCGATGGTTTCAAACTCATTGCAGGTCTATGACGAATTATGGACTCGTCACGATCCACGTCAGCTTGTGTGTCGTCGCCATGGATGTTTCAATGGTTGCAGTTTGGCACCTTTATTGCAATAGCAGTGAGGATAGGCAACATATACTTACACAAAGCATTAATACCGGACTATACACAGAAGTTATGTATCACCCAATTCTAAACAGCAGCGATACTCTCTGAAAATGGCAGCATTTCAGAACAAGATTTGATATTTCATTTTCGTTATCAAAACCAACCGAGGGCTGGCTCGTTGGTGTATTAGCTGATTTGTTAACCCGGATTTCCTGCAATTGCTTTAGTGTGGGACATGGTGCACTTCTAATCAGATTCAACTACGTCACCTTCTAAATGGTCCTCTGTTTTGCATGCGTGAAATTGTTAAACGAAAAGTTTGGGACGTTTTGTCTATAAAATTCATTTTTAAAAACTTAAAATAATGGAAAAAATTGACTATCAAGTTCGATAGATGGAAGAGGTAAACAAAACAGAAGAGGAGACATTTTTCTCAAAACCATAATGGTAAAAAAAAAAAAAGCCTTCAGTCATGAAAATACACCGTTAAAAAAAATTTGTAGGAATAGATGTATATTGTTCTTCATTCAAAGGGGGGAACCGTTATTACCAGAAAAACTTCAAGTCTAAGCATACACCATTAAAAAATGATTTGTAGGAATAGATTGTTCTTCAATCAAAAGGGAACCATTGCTATTAGAAAAATTTTAGTCACAAGCGTACACCATTAAAAAACGATTTGTAGGAGTAGATTGTTCTTCAGTCAAGGCGGAATTCAATTAAACTTGTAGTCAAGAAATTTCTTTGCATTTACAGTATAGAACTAAGAACACATTTTTCTCAGAATCATTATTACTAGAAAAAAGTAACCATAATTTTATAAATCTAACTCCTTTGGAGGATTCACATAAGCACATGGGTGGTTTAGATGTGATTTCCAACTACTTGTTTTGTCTGTTGCTTAACTTGGTGCAAAGTGCAGCCTGATGTTGCATAATACTCATGTTGTAGCTTCATTTGTAAAAAAGCAAGATTCCTCAAGTGAGAAGAAGAAGAAGAAGAAGTAGGAAAACGAAGAAAAATCTGCAAAGCTCTTATTAATGGTGCCCAAGGAAGAATACAAAATCTTGCATTTGCAAAAGGATTTCTACTCCTTGACTGAAGAGCAGTCTATTCTTGCATATATCTTGTTAATGGCATCTGCCCATCTAGGGTTTTGCAAGCAAGCCATTCGTTTGAGTTTCTCCATGTGTTTTGTTTAACCTCTCTCATTCTTCAAACTACACAGTCAAACTCCTTTTTTTTCTTAAGTTCCAAAAAAAGAACTTTAGAGAAATAACGCCCCTGACTTGCCATTTAATTTAATTCGCACAGGGGACCATGCAAAATATGACGTGGTTGAATCTGAATAAAAGTGCACCACCTCCCACACCAAAAGCGAGTGCAGGAAATCTGGGTTCCTGATTTGTTTCTGCGTTAACGCGATATCGAATCCCACACCCACAATTCGCACTTTGGGGGAAAAAGGAGGCCAAGGGAAAGTTATCAATGGTGCGTGGCACCAAAATACTCAAAAAAAAAAATCTCCTTATCGAATATAAAGCTTTGAATATCTTCATTCTCTCAAATTTGTTTATAGTAGCATTTCATGCATGTATCACCCGCCCTGAAAACCGATAATTACCAGACGATACTATGATGCGGTATGATACATATGGATATCTTATCCTTGCTTCTACTGCAAATATTTATTTGGAATATGAAGGTTAGAGTGCTCGAGTCCATGCCCCCTAAGGCCTGTGGTCGAAATGCAAATGCACTCTGCATACAGCAATGACAGCTCTGGTGTTTGAGCATCAAACACCACCTAGGGGCTAGGACTCTTGTCATTGGTGGTCAAATTCGTACAATTCAATCCGACGTTATGGATTTCTCAAACTGCCCAAGATTCAACAAGGTTAATTGCAGTCTTACCAATACAGAAATATTTCACTTACACCCTACTAAGATGATCATCCCTTGCAATACATGCAATGAAAAAGAGACCACACATCATATAAATAATTTAACTTTTTTACCATCTCCAATTCCTCTCTGCTTTAAACATCCCAAAAATTATTATTATTATTTGAATACTTATTTGACACAAATTATCAGGATCAGTTAAAATTCGCCATTCCAAGGTTTTTAATACCGAGACCACACCGGCATTTGGGACTTGGGAGTCTACAACCTCTTCCAGTTTAAAAGGTGAATGGGCTTTCTTTCATTTGACTCAATCCGGATAAAATCTCTTTGAATTTTATCAAGGTCATTCCCGAGGGGAGGTGATTGCGCACTTTCACCGAGTTTGCCTTTGCATTCAAGAGAAGATATCAAGGAAATGAAACTTGGTATAGTTGCACTTGCACATGCGATAAGATCTATTGAATTTTTCATTAAACAATTCATTTCAACCGTACAGTGCATAGTCTCAATTCCACCTACAGTACCCATGCCAGCACCTGCAATTATCGGTTCTGTCATTATACAAATCTGGACTGGTGGCCGGAAAAAGAAACCACAGGAAACTTCCAATCCCCACCAAAAATGCAACAATGGCCAACCCTGGAGGAACAAGATAAACGACATCAGTGCAGGAACAAACACCAGAAAGGAATGCCAAAGGAAGCATTAGTGACAACAGAACATCATCATCATCCAAGCCTTACCCCAACTGTATGAGGTCGGCTGCATGAATCCTGTTTCGCCATTCCGTTCTGTTTAATGCCATGCCCATTGTTAAATTGTTGGTGCTTAAATTATTCCTTAACTACTTCTACCCATGTATTTTTTGATCCACCCCTAGTCCTAGCCCCTTCCAACTTGCAACAAATCACTTCCACTATGAGAAAATTCTAGACAGCCAATGGGCTTTTATTGCATGATTAGGTAGAACCCACTACAAATCTACAATAGAGACGTAAATAAATTAATTTGGAGAAAGTTCAACTCTATGTGCATACCTTTTCTCCGTGAAGACAATACAGGAAATCCCATCACATTACAGAATATATGAGCTACTATTGGAGCAATAATATGCCCTGCAAAGAATCAGCCAGTGATCCATAGTCATCATATAAGATAACATCTAAAAAGAGCAGTGACCAAATAAATACTACGGATCATATTGAAACTAACAACAAAAATTAGGTGCCCAAGTATAATAGAGTATGTCACGAGAAGATGACATACTCAGTTACTTTCTCTCTCTCAAAAAAAGTACAGAGTATGTCCTTGAGGTTTCTATCCTGAAGAAAGATGCTGAATATACAAATTTTATTTCTTTAAAGCCTGACATATCCATCTTAGACCACAGTTCTGGAGTATTGTATATGCTAATATGCAACCAAGCTACAAGACAGTTGGGATTTGGGAATCACTTGAAATGACACAATTCCAGAACAGTGGTCTACAGTGTATTTCCAAGGCATACAAGAAAATAAATTTGTGTGCTTAAGAATGTCATCATTAAATGGTCTTTCACTTTCCTCCAGTGTTAATCCATTGACCAGTCTAGCACAAACAAATAAAGTGAAATGCAAGTGCAACCCCTCCCTCCCTCTCCAGTTCTCCCCCCAAAAAGACATGAGACCATGACAAAGATGTTAACGAACTATGCAAGTTTTTTCTCCAGACCATAGCTGAATGCAGTGTTGTAAAGTTATATAGTCCATATTCAGGCTAGTCAAAAGATGTTGCCCATCTAACATCTATATATAGATTGTCTTCCTTTTCATCCATGAGAAAAGGAATCCAATTGATTGGGTAGTTTATAGGGCTGTAAACAAGTAGACTACGGATGATGTAAGGACACTTCAAATTTGCGGTCTTGCATCCAAGTGCAAAATAAAACTAGATTCAAGTACTCATATCTGATTTAGTGATACAACATACTATTAGCTAAAGTTAAATTAGATTTGTACTGAGGCTTCAAGCAAGTTCTTAGTTAGAAACACAACCTGATCCAGTGAAGCTACAAGCTAGGTACTAAGATCTATTTACATGCAGCAATAGTAATATATCAATTTATAAATATGCTTTACCAAAAAAAAAATGTATACAAACATATGCATGCATATATGTGTATGTGTATGTGTATGTAATTTGATGTTCCAAAATCTGGGTTTGACATTTGACAGATGGTCAAACCATTAAGATTGTCTCTCATAGGATTGCTACTATCCTAAACTCCTCATGTTAACATGCTCAAATTGTTCAGATAGATGGTTGAAATTCCGCCCACATGACCCCCAAAGTTTTATCTTGTTTATTAAAATTTTAATCTCCTCTAATTATTACGAAGTTTGAAATGGAGAAAGGGATGAAATAGTGATGAACGTATCATAGCATTGTTTTCTGGATGGGTTATGGTGGTTCAACAAGAGCAGAGCTGATGGCAGTCCAACAAGGGATGAAGGTGGTTAAGCTCCTAAATCTGATGGTGGAAGGAGACGTCCATGTAATTGTAGGATGGCCTTCAATAGATAATATAGGACCCTGGAATTACAGACATGTAATTAGGGAGACAAAAGATGGCTAGGGAGCTGGGAGTTGGCTACAGAATACTAGGATCAGAAAATTGTGTGGCAGATGCTTTGGTGAGGCACAAAGCAGGCAGAAATCGGTTTTATTGAGGACTGATTCCCCAAAGGAGGGGCTTGTAAAAAACACAGATGGAAAGAAAGTAGCTAGCCCAAGCTTAGAGGGTGCTTTGGCACATCTCTATTTGTGCATCATTCCTTACCATAACATATAATCTTTGATTATTACTGATAAAAAAATGGCAAAGGGATGATAAATTACTGTTTAAGGGAGAGAGAGAGATTCCAAAGTCCAAATTCAGAGATGATCTTTTGCTTCCTTTAGTTACAAGCATCCTTTCTTTCCTCCAATAAAAATCAAACTGTAGCCCTAGATGGCTTGATAAGCTTCCATTGGCAACTTCAATTTCAATAATGATGGGAAAAAGAAAGGGAAATTAAAAAAAAAACCTCCTAGTTGTCAAAAAGTCTGCTGCTTTCACCATCATTAATGAAGTCTTGTCCCGACCATATGGAATCAGCTAAAATAACATGCTACTTTAGGTCTGTGAATACCAGATGGAAGAATATTAAAACAAAATCTCTCTATTAGTAAACTCCCAAGAACTGTCAATCCCCTCCCAGCAATGTAAGAGGAGTTCCTCCAGGATAGATTTCTGATGATCTTCGGTAAATTCTTGATAACCTATTCCTCCCCTCTCAAAAAAAGGAATTTTCCATCTATCCATACTAAGTACCTCAAAAAAAAGACTTTACAGGGGATATCAGTCACATACTCCTGAAAAGACCCAAGGAAGATGTTCGTAATAGTATTGATAACGCCCATTGTTCAAATCCGTTCCACAAAAAAAAAAAAAGAAAAAAAATCAAGTCTCACAATGCCAGAAGCAAACCCTGCAATAGTAACCATAGATGGCAATACCTCCCAGGCCATTCCTCCATACAACTATAATAAAAAAAAAATATGGCAAGAATTCACCATCGTTAGCTTTCTCATCTTTTACCAGATTTTCTACACTTCCTACAGCCCCTGACATTATCCTTTTCACAAGACTATTCCCCCTTTTTTAATTTAGTTTTCCTTTTTTTGTTATTCAGTAGTTTTCTTTTCATATTTCTCATTGCTCATGGTCCAACCCACCCCGACCAAGAAGTCTAATCACTGAATGATGAATTGCTAACTCCAGCTATTTAAGTCTAGTTCAGTTCCAGAAACATATCTTTACACATTGTCAGATCAAATTAGATCTATAATAGATTAATAGGGTCTATCACTACGCCAGACCCCATCCTGTGCAATGCGTTTTTTTTTTTTATCAATATGTTTAAAGAATAGGATTAAGTTCCACCATAACCAAAGCATATCCAGATAATAATCTGATCCATTGACAGCCTTAGTAGTTAAGTTCATATGATTGTGCTTATTTTGTGAAAGCCACATACTGGGTACATGATTATGCTCTGAACCTCTAGTTCTATCTATACATATTTGGACACTTCGATAAAAATATGCAACCTTTTGTAGTGGATGTCGCTATCAGAGGCAAGTGAATAGTATCATAAATAGTCAAAATATGCCAATAAAATGTCAAAAAATTAAAAGGAACCACCACAAATAGCTGGTATAACTACATTTGTTGCTAAGTCATCTAAAAGTGAAACGTTAAGATGATAGTGAGAGACAATATTGACAGGCAAAGAAAATTCAATTGTTACACTGAAGGCTACGTCATGCAAAATCACAAACCTGTTCGAATGAAGAGAAAAGATGCGTAAACCCCAAAGATCACTGTGTAACCAAGCTGGAAACCTACCAAATATAAATACATAGTATGTAGGTCATCGTGTTACTATCTTTAGAAATTAGTAAAAGCATCGATACTCAGAATAAAATCATAAGCATGGCCATCAAAAAACAGGAATAAAATCACTATCTATGCCAGCTATATATATGGAATAGATAGGGTGGAAGCATGAGAATGACTACTTAATATATATATTATTTTATCAGTAAATATGTCTTTTATTAAAATTCAGATTCAGATTGTAAACATTTTATACAATTTGATGATGGGAGTGTTGATCCCTTTTCCTCACTCTATTTATCCCTCGTTACAATGTAGCCCAAAATAATTGCTGTCTCAATGCCCCTTGTTTTGCTAATCCATCAGCTAGCCCATTTGCACTTCTACAGACCCATTTAAATTCAGCCTCAACCTCCTTGGCAATCTTCTCCACTTCCCTAATCACATGTTTAAMYRTCCATGGGGTGTGGCTGCTATTTGTTGCCCATGAAATTACTACTTTTGAATCCCCTTCCACTTCAACATGTCTGCATCCTAGTTGTTTGGCTAGCTTTAACCCTTGTAATAATGCCAGTAGCTCAGCCTTCAGCGAGTTTCCGTTGCCAATCGGCCCTGAGAACATACCCAATATCCTCTTGTCAGGGTTTCTTAATACTCCTCCTATTCCTGAGATGCCTGGATTTCCATATGAGCACCCATCAAAATTGAGCTTTACTTTATTGCCTTCATGTGGTTTCCACTCCGGCCTTATTTTATCTCTTACTCTCAAAGATTGTGCTACTTCAGACCATGTTCTTAGAATGTCTGCAACTGAGAACACTTGAAAGCAGTCCAAGAGTTTGCATTGTTGACATGAAATGGATGAAACTCTCACATCTAAAGAAAGAATTCTACAACCATTAAGTGTATCTACTCAAAAGGTCTGAGTATTTGCTCGCTTTTTTAATTTTTATAAGTAACTATCAAAATTTCATTAACATGAAGTTATGAACAGATGAACAATATGTACGGGTACAAAGAAGAAATGTAGTTTGAATAGCTACCTATATCCAAATAAGTCTATACAAAGGATTCCCTTGAAACCTCCCCCAATACATTTAAAGTCTATTAACCCCTTGCCTAGCTAAAGCATCAGCCATACTGTTTTGCACTTCTATGCACCCATTAAAAAGTAGCCTTTATTTTTTTTATGGGAAACGGTAACTTCCATTAATTCTTTAAAAAACTTAATACAAACTGTCACCTTCAAAAACAAGGTGACCCCTCATCAAAATTACAAACAAGCCCATAAAAGGTTCTGCCTACTAACACCTTGCTTTGCTAAAGTATCGGCCATTGCATTGGCTGATCTTTTAGTCCATTTAAAACAGACTTCAAGCTCTCTTGTTAGTTGCATATTCTCCCTTACAGGTTGTCTAAGGGACCAGGCACCTAAGCTGTTTTTTTGCATCCAACCTATTACCAGTTTCGAATCTCCCTCTACTTCCAACTGCTGAAAACCTAGCTGTTTAGCCAATTTGATCCCCTGTAGGAATGCTAGAACTTCTGCTCTAAGAGAGTCCCCCAAGCCTATCGGGCCAGCAAAAAGGGCCAGGACTTTTCCTCCCCCATCTCTAAAGACACCCCCAATTCCAGAGGGGCCTGGATTACCTACAGAGCTGCCATCAAAGTTTAGCCTAACAGCCATAGTTAAAGGGGGGCACCAGTCCTCTTGAATAGCTAAAGAGGGGCAGGAAGAAGCTGCTACCATACTCCACCCTCTAATCAAAGCATCTGCAGAGAAAACCTTGAACAGGTCCAGCGATTTCAATCAGTGTATAATTTTGATGGTGATCCCTTCTATGACTTCATGTGCTGATTTTTCTTTCCCTTGAAAGATTCTGTTATTTCTCTATTCCCACACTGTCCAAACAACTACTGCCCTCGTTGTTCTCCACATTACCCTTCCTCTTTTCTTTGGTTGACGGAAAAAGCTAGATTCAAAAAGATCCATCACGCTTGTAGGGGGAACCCACCTGCACCCAAAGAGAGAGGAGAACCAATCCCAAGTAAGAGTAACAAAGGACAAGAGATTAGTAGATGATTTACCGTCTCACCACTCTTCAAGCAAAGGCTACAAACATGAGGGGATAAACACCAATGTGGTCTTTTTCTCTGAAGCAAATCCAAAGTGTTGATTTTTTGGAGAACCACTTCCCAACAAAAGGCCCTCACCTTTGGAGGTACAGGAGCACTCCACACTTCTTTTAGAGGAAAGGAGAGAATTAAATTGGAAGACTGCACTAAAGCATTGAAGAAAGGAGAACAAGAAAAATAACCAGAGGACTCTTCAGACCAAATTCTAATATCAGTACAAGATTGGTCCAAAAAGTAGCCATCATTTCTGCTGCCAACTTGCTAATTTCCCTCAACACATTTCTGTAAATCCATCTTCCTTGTGTATTATCTCTTAGCCATCCCACCACTACTCTAAGGTCTTCCCCCACTACTATGTTTCTGCAATGGAGGAACTTCCCCAATGTACTACTGCTATCAGTTCTGCTCTTGTTGAGTTTCCAAACCCATCGTAAGGCTGCCTTGCAGTGCTACAATATTTTAACCTTGCAAACATGCCTCGCAAAAGCATAACAATCCCACCTCGCAAGGACGAACCATCTTGCCCCACAAGGCTGCACTTGTCCAATTGGCCTCGCGAGCCGTTTAAAATCAGTCATGTGTGTATGACTTGCGAGGCAAGTCAAGTATCAAGGAGTTTATACCTAAGCGCGATGAGGGTCATGACGAAAAGTATCAAAAGTGCGATCAATACCTCAAGGAAACCACATCCAGTTGTACCTGAGTGTCGTATTAACATGTGTCACCTCCTAAGGAAACCCAAAATCGTGATCTAACAACCTCATGGTCCTGAGAGACACGTGTCTTAAGAGGAGAAGTCTATGGGATCTATCTCCAAGCATTGCTCAGGCTAAGGAATATTCTGGAATTCTTGCTTCATGCACATATCCTTGTTCCCATATTTCTATAAATAAAGCACTCCCTCTAGAAGGGATCTAACCTTCATTCCACTTGTAGCTATGTTTTGTGTCTCAACAACATCTTCCTTCCCGCTTCCAAGACTCTCTAAGTTCATTTTGTTGGTTTACAGTAGTGGAGCAATGTCTAAGTTGGGTTGTGACCTAAAGTGTGAAAGTGAGTGTTTGCAAGAAACAATGAACTGGACCAAACCCAATGTGTTCTTGGACTTTATGACAAGTGGAACAACTAGGTGTTGCTTTTGATCCTTGGACTTGATATTGGTATCAAGCTAAGTATCAGACTTGTCTATCTTTGATATACCAACCAATGAGATCCTTCAAGGGTCAAATACCTAAGCATGTTGGGGCATTCAAGAATGGTATATCAATTGATTATCAATGTGATACAATCTTTTACTATGTTAAGACAGAGAGAATGCTCTGTACAACTTTCTACGATGGATACCTAAATCTATTGGTAGTAGTATTACATGAATCTTCTATTTGGATTCATTAGAGGTGGAAGTTGGACACCATGTCATAAAGACTAAGAGGGGGAAAGTCCTTCCCAATAAGTGGTGTCAAGTATTATTAGCAGAGAGATTAATAGCAAGTGATTTTTTTAGTTATTCTAACCTAATAATCACATAATGGGCTAAACCAATTGGACTTGGGCCTTTAGGATGGTAAGTCCCAAGTAATTAAGCGTTTAGAACCTTATTGGGCCAATTCACCAAAGCCCATAACTGATATGGGCAAATTAGCCTAGTGGACTGCTTTCTTTCTAAGCGGACGCCCCACCCATTTAAGTGTTAAGGGTATGGGCTTAAGCTGGTTCTCTCATTGGTGGTGGCTTTCACACCATACAAGCTGGTATCTCCCATTAATATAAAGTTTTTCCAGAATTAATTGGATGATATAAAACAATTAGGAGTCTTTCCTAAGAAACCTAGTCAAACTATCAACTAGAAAGTTTAAGGTGGTTACAAGATTTGACTAGGATACTTAACTAGAAAGGCTCTAGTTTTCGGGCTAAATTAGGAGAACAGGATTTTTTTTTTTGATGAATAAATTAGGAGAACAAGATTCTCTCCAAGATTATCCTAAACATGTTAGGAAACCAATATGGATTAAGAGAGGACTCTTATAACCTCCCTTGTCTATATAAAAAGACCAAGAAGAGGAGTTCGATGCATGCATTCTTCTTCCCTACTTAGTTGAATTCAGCCTACCCTTGTGAGAGGCCTTTTGCTAGGGTTTTGAACCCCATTCGACCAGGCCTGTTAGGCATCCCTTCTATCATTATTCCAGAGACCTTTTGAGTGAGAAACATCACCCAAACTCATGATAAAGGTGTCACCTTGCTGTTGGAAATTCTGGAAAAAGTTTGAAGACTGCAAACCTGAAATTGCACTATCTTCAGCTTGTTGCAGTGTTTCTTGGGACGATCCAAGCTTGGATGTGAACCACCACATCAACTTCTGCACTTGTGGACATCAAGATATACGATTTCAGCATTAGGGTTTGTGAAAATTTTTTATTTTCACCTTCTCTTCTTGCTGGAATTTTTGCATGCAATGATCACTAGATCATCATCTTTTGCAACTTCTTGTTGTATCCTAAAGTATTTTAATTAATGAAATTCTTTCGAAATTATTGATAAAAAAAACTATGGAAAGCAGAAAAGAAAGACACTTTTCTACATGAATTCTAACCCTCCAAGTTCATGGTTTCATGGTTTGTTATTCTTGATTTAGTATGTGCTTGTCAGCTTTATGATTGTGAGGGATGTATTTCCTCCTGCCTTTTACTTCAATAAACCTCCGTTTATCCTTGTCAGCTTTATGCTTTCTCAATCAACCTATGTATTCTAAGTTCAAAAATTTAGAAACAAAGAAAAAGGTCCATTCCACTACAAAAAAGCAGAAATAAGGAACACATACCTACAATCAGGGACGCCTTGCCAAAGCTATAATTTTGCTGACAATAAAGCTCTAGAAAATGGTTTAAGTGTGCTGCAACATAATGACAATGCACTGTAAGTATAGTTGCTTTTACTAAGCTTCACCAAAATGTTACAGACAAATTAGTAGTGCAGCAATAAAGAGAATCAGTTCTTGTCACAGAAGTTGCTAACTTCTACTTTTTAAAATATTTATTCCTCATTGCAGTATGATATGGCACATTAGGAGGCCCAGTAAGATAGGCAAGACATTACACAGCATCTCCCATTGAGCTTGTGCTTCAAAAGCTTATTAGCATTATCAGTGCACATAAATGCATGTTAGCCTAGCATTAATTGTGTATAAACTTTATCGGTCTACAGCAGGTATGCCCTGAAACTTATGAAGCAAGAGTGCAGTATTACCAAGGTCCAAAGTATCGGAAATGTCAAGTGTATCGGAAAGGCAATTTTCAGAGATGTATCAGGATACGCCTTGGATACGTATGTGATCGAAGAAAAACTAAGATACGCTTGGAAACACTATAAATACTTTAATAAATCWTAAAAAAACATCAACAACACTAAATATAAGACCTCAATGAGGTGTATATACATTAAATTAATATATTTTAATGGTTTTATGAAGAAATATATTGTAGTTAATTATAATTTCATTAAAAATCCTATGCCTAACTATAATTTATAAATTACAATTCTTAAGCTTTAATGTTTTATGAGATGAGAAAGACCCAACTCTTCTATCCAACCATAAAATATGCATTGGCAAAACTTTGATGTGAAAATATAATTAATAATTATTTATTATTTAAATAATTATTATTTATTATTCATTTACAAAAGTTATAAAAAAATAAACATTATATAATATATTCAAAAAATAGTTATTAAAGAAGAAATTTCAATTGCTTTGTGGATATGATAGATCATCCATAGAATTATAATATATTCAAT